CCCAGGTAGCGGTGCTGGGTCGCTGCGGGGGGGGGGGGGCCCCCTTTTTTTTTTTTTTTGTGGCGTGCCCTCCGCGGGGTCCTAAACCGTTTCTTGACAAACCACCTCTCTGCGTGCGGCACCGCATCCCCTCCAGGGCTGAGGAGATTGAGCTGCTTTGTTCGAACGCTCCTCGGGCCCAGCCTTTACACGTGTAACGCTAGAAGGTGTACATACGTGGTGTTTTCAGGAAAAAAGGCAGAGAGAGAAGATGTAGAGCGATTTATTTCCCAGGTAGTTCTCGTAATCTGAACGTACCACCTCTGCACAGCCACTTCTCTTGCTTTAGCTTTCAGTCCCTCTCCTGAGTATGTTTACCCTTCCCGTGAAAGCTGCAATCTGTGTTAATCACTTTACACTTTCGGGTTATGGTGGTACTTATAAGCCACTCAAAAGAACTTAAATTGTAACTTGCATAATCAGTGTTTCAAGCAAATATTGGTTGAAAGAATATGCCTTTCCTATTAGTGCTGTGGTTGCTGGAAAGAATCATTGATCATCTTTTAAATAGTGAACACTGCTGATACGCTGTCCTTCAGAATGTTACATTGATAACTGAACAGTCTGATGCCAAGTATCGGAATACAGCATTGATCCACAGCTGGTAACTTAAATGATAATGTCTGCCGCATAATTTAAAGGGGTAATAGGTTAAGTGCTCTGAAAAAAAAAGAGGTATATCTGTACAAACAAAAAGCACAGAACTGCCTTACCTTTAGAGGCAGGCCTCGCTGGCAGTTGCAGTTGTGCTGCATGGTCTGGCTTTTTTGGGGGACAACAGTTGATCAAAAGACATCTCTTCTAAACATGTTCTTATTATCTGTTTAAGAGCCTCTTTGTTAAACAATTGTTATGTAACTACAATATTAGTGTTTTATTTGGACTAGCAATGGGAAGAGAAAATGTCTTGAGTACTGGTGTTTCTTGAGTGCACCTGAACACTGCTGCATGTTTCCCTGGTAAAAGATAATCCTCAGAAGACGAAATGTAGTCCCATGGTTAAGATTGCATGTGAAAGTAAAGAGATCTGACTTCATGTTCTTGTCAGTTCTGTAATTTGTCTTTAAAATCTTCCCCACACAGGTGTGTGTTAGTGGTCTGTCGAAAACATTCATAGCCCTTTACAGGAAAGGCAGCATGCAGTCTAAAGCAAAGATTTTCTGCACATCAGCAGAAAAAGGAGAGCTTGTGATCTGTGTTGAATTAGTTCAGATTTGCAAAGTACAACTGGCTTTACAAACTTGCTGCAAATATCAGCTCTTGTAATGATTTCTGAAATTCTGATTATTTACTAATAGGAAGTTATATGCAGGCATGAATGATTATAATCCTTAAAAAAATTTCACAGAGCTATTAATGGGGGAACTTTCAGCTTTGATACTACTTGGCTGGTCAGTGTGATGCTTTTGAAATTGCTTTCATCTTGAGACTGATAGCCTGCAATATGATCTGTAATCAGCTCCTGGATCTTTAAGGCTGGGTTAGGTGCCTTCTCTGCACAGTTTCTTGCTTTGTTTTGGAGTTGAACATTGTTGCGTTCATAGCGAATTCTAACTGATTTGCGTCAGTAGTTCTTATAATTTGTTGATCTTGGAAATTCATTCATAATTACATCTTGCTTCCATTTAGCATGAATTGTATTTAAAAAAGGTGATCAAATGAACTGAAGGAGTGGCTTTGAGAGAAAACTAAGAACAGCTCTTTTGGAAGACCATCACTGAAATTAGTTAAAGAAGTATATATTGAGCAAGAGGGGCTGCCAGACAATTTGACAGACTTCTAAGACAAAGGGACTTGTTCTGACAAATTTATGTGTGGATGAGGAAGAGGCTTGGTTCTGCTGCTTGCTTTGGTTCAGCTTAAGGAACAGGAAAAAATCCTGTATGTTGTGTGTACGTGTACTGGGGCAGGGGAGTATAAAGTAGATGGAAAGGGGGTGGAAGAATGGGGGACAGACATGACTATTCTAAACTTGCATTTCTTCATGGCAGAAAATGATGTAAAGGTGGTTTTGGATATAAAGAGATGCACAGCTGCAAGTCGGCAGGGGTGTGAGTCCCCCAGTACTGCTTAGAACCATCCCACGCTGTAGTACTTGGTTTTCTTTATTGGTGCTGGGGAAGTGTTGATAAAATTAATTTAGAGCCTTGGAGCACTATAAAATCCATCATGGTGGGGTTCTGGCAGTTTGTAAGAAGTTGCAAAGCACAGAAACAATGTTATTGTTCCATTAGGCACTTGGGTCTGTAGTAGTGAATGTAACAGGAAAACTCTGCTCTGTGTAAGAAGAGACTATAAAAATAAAGGCATAGGGTGTTAGAAAAACAGTCCTTTCGTTCATCCTCATTCTTAAAAATAAAGAAGGAGCTGAAGATTGGTAGCCAGAAGTCTTGGAGACTGGAAGAACAATCTGTAAACACTTGAGGGACTTGGTAGTCACAAGAAGATAAAAGGGAACCCCCTTAACAGCCTTCATCAGAATTCCCCGACTGGGCTCCTTCTCTCTGGCTGCTTCTCCCTAGGGGTCTGCATCTTATCTCACTGGCTTCCTTTCCTCTATTTGTCTCTGACTAATAGGCTTTGTCTTCTGGTTACTGGAAGTCTAATAATTTCTTTTGCCTCTTCCCCCTCCTCCTTTTAAAAATACTAAATTAAATGGCTGTAATGTTTTGCAGATTATCTGCATTGGTGACATGGATTAATTGTATACTTGACTTTAAGTTATTCAGCAGTAATGACAGAGTAACTTGACTCGAAACAATGGTAATTTCATGGCAAATGTTCAAGGCAAATGTTGCATTCTGGTAAAGACGCACCTGCAATTTACCCCCTGTAAACATATGACAAGAGTAAACTATCTGTGCTAGTTTTCTTGGTGTTTTCTATACAGTAAGTTGTCTCAAGTGTATCTTTTGAAACAGTTGGCTATCCCCCCGCCGCCTTCTTTTGACTCTAGTTTGAGTCAGGTAATTACAGATCTGGGTTGAAGACTTCCCAGGGAGTGATCAGAAAAGCCAAGACCTGCAGACGTGCTCCCATCGTTCACTTGTACCTTGACTTCACCCTTTCATGGGAAGGTTTTGTGGAACTGCTCAGCTATCGGTAACTGGCTGTTGGTGAGCGAGTCTGAGAGCCCCAGGGGCGATGGTGGTTGGCAAACCGAAGGGGAGCTCTGCTTTCCCTTGCACAAATGCCAGTATTCTTTATGATGACGTAAGGAGGTTGTTCTTGTCACATGTGGCTTTGGAGTGACAGTTTGGTAATGTTTTTACATTCTGATCTCGGTGTTAACCAGAACAGAGCAAATAGGGGAAGAGAAAGTGAATCAAAGCTTCTTGCCTAGAAGATAATCAGAGAACTAACCCATTTAGACTTGACGTGTCTCCATTTTATCCATGTGTCTTGGGGGGCAGCTCTCCAGTCCAATGATCTGCATCTTGAAGGAAGCAGAAAATCTGCATTTTAGGTAAAAGTTATTTAATTGCAATGATTTGCTACTCGAAGAGTGACGGTTAGGGTACTACTTAGCTGTAAGTATTAAAGAACTCTTTCACAGACGTAGGAATACTGTAGAGAAACCAACAAAAGCATAGGTGGTAAGACAGGATTCCAGTGAAGAGAATGAGCTAGTATAATCTTCAGAAAGAATAGTTATAAATGCTGTCTGTGACATCTGGTTTGTGAAAGACAAAACTTACTTAGTAAAATGTGAGAATGCTGTTACTGACCTCCTGTCACAGTTTGTTATTCCCAGAAAGTCAGACTGCCAAAGACGGTATGACACTCATAGTTACTTGTTGTCTCACTTTTCCTATTTACTGGTTTTTTTTTAAACCAAAAGTATTATGTGCTTGTGAAAAATACCAGTCTTATTTTTGCATCCGTGTAGTAGCAGAAAGTGACAGTTTTTAGTTCTTACTCCAAAATTTTTTAGTGTAATACAACTTTTCCTTCTGCAGCTTGGAGACATCTAAGGCAGTCAGTCTTATCCTTTTGTTTTAAAATTGAAGGGGAGGGAGAGAAATCATCTTAACGCCTATGATTATGGGAGGTGTGTGTAGCTTAGTAATAGGCTCACAAACACAAATGTCCTAGAACTTGGTTTTGGTCATATGCTGACTGTTCAATATTTTCATTGCAAATGAGTCTGTACAGAAAGCCTCAAGCACTCCGGATCAGCACATAAATGGGCGGTCTGGAAGTGACGAAGGTCTGATGTATATCAGCTTCAAGCACAGTTACCTGTGCTTGGAGTTAGTGATTATGTCTCATGAAGCACAGGATAGATACCTACACACCTTGCATCTCTTGTGAGACACAGGACATCAAGTGGAATCAAGGATATGTGAAAACTTATTAATAAAATGTGTGTGTTGGTTGAAGCTGCCACCAGATTTCTCAAGGAGAGCTGAGAGTCTGTTACAACTGATGACCTAAGCTCAAGTACTCAGAGGAGTCCCTTTGAAGCTGTTGATACAGTTAACATCTAAATACTGCAGCATCTTTTGTACAGTGTGAAGTGTTAGTGTCATTCACTGTAATAGGGAAGTCAGGACTCAAATCAGTAGAGAGAACTAGGGTGTCCGCAGGTGGCTTTGTGTATTTTCTGGTTTAAAAACTGCAGTCAGTTTAAAAATCCAAGCATATGCTCTTAAAGCGATGTCAGTCCTTTCACTTAGAACAATTCTTTGTACATAACTTAAATATGATTCCAGTATTTACGTGGTCAGCTGGTAATGAAGTTCCTACACAGCTGCATGAAATGAGTGATTCTTTTGGCTGGCAGCCTGTAAACTGTGTTACACTTACTGAGATGGCTCGCAGGGCTTCTGTAAACTCTTTGTGAGCATCTGCTGCCAGAAGTGATCTTATGAGGTGGTCTGGCTCTTGTGTTTAGACTTGTCCCTTCGCTACCCTGTTAGGCGGCTGTATGGGTCACGGTTCTTGCAGCTGCTTTGTGCTGGAGATGGGACACTGTTAACCAGAGCTGCTGGAAGGACTTTTTTTTTTGTGCGATTGGTGTGTTTTCTTCATTGTTGAGAGCACTAAGAAATATAAAGTTGTTCGCTTATTACAATTAGTTTAAAGCATATCTTATTATTACAGGAATCACTTGATATCTGCCTGAATTATATTCAGCTGAACGTAATGGATGAAGGTGCCCCATCTGCTTCAAGGTGAAGTCTGCTAGCTGAACTCGGTGCAAAAGAAAATCTGTGCACACTTAGGTCTGTTTAAATGTTTTTTTTTCCATTGCAGAGTGGATTGTAGACCGAGGTGGTTTTTCAGAGTTATTCTGGTTTGGCTACAGCATAGTTGCAGTTTTCCGTAGAATAATTTATGGAATTGACTAAGAGCAAGGTAAATATTTGTAGCGCAGCTACTTTCAGATGCTTACAGTGGGATGCATCTGTGTCAAATATCTGAGGGTCATGGTTTCTGTTGGTCCTATAATCTGCAGTTTTGCTGTAGAGAAGTGAGTCTGTTGTGTTTAAGCACAGAGTAGCTCTTCCCCTGGCATGTGCTGTTTTAATTATTCATAATACATACTGAGGTGCTAAAGGTCTATCATGCTGTGCAAAAGTTACAGTGTACCCTGGAAAAATACTGAAGGATTATTCTTTTACAATCCTTTGCTTGTTAAAGGGAAGAAACCCACAAACCCTCATTAGATGATTCTTTGCTTTTTTGTAAGTGCTGGACCTTGAGAATTGTACGGCCTTTGACAAGGATCTCAGGGGAGAGGGGGAAAATTGATAGTTTTTAAATGGATGGAGATGAATCTCTCAGTGACCAAATTTTGTTTTTTGAAGGTGGTAGATTCAAACTCAGCCAGGGTTTGAGTTATGTGCAGTGGAATAAGTGAGTTTGTTCATGTCTAAGTATGTACGAGGTAGGGGATCGGATGGAATCTGGTTGGGGTTCTGGTTTCAGCTTTACTGAAAACTGATGGTGTGATCTTGAACAGCCACATCATTTGGCTGCCTTGATTTCCCCTCTGCTCGTTGTCTTGCTCATAGCCTAAATAGACTTCTCAAAACAAGTACTGCTGCTGTGTGAATTAGTTCATTAATATATTTACATTATAGAAGCACCTGAAGGCACCCTTCTAAGATTATATGCTATTTAGCTAACTGGACTTGGGTTTGCTCTGTGAAAATACAATAATCCTAACAAATCATTCCACCCACCTAATAAAGTAGGATGAAGCACATAATAGGAAAGGATTTAAAACTTTTTAATGGGGCCAAGTGGAAAAACAATGAGAAGTAATCGGTAAATAAGATATTGTGTGGTTAGAGAATATAAAAGAAAGGGAGGGATTCGAGGATGATGCATATGTGTGCTGAAAAAGCTGCTTAAGGAATTTGTCTTCCATGAGAGAAAGTAGTAAGGTGCCTTTACTCTCTCTTTCCCTATAATTTTTCACATTGTTATTCATTTTTTCTTAAGCTAACCTTGTATAATTAGCTGCACACAGTGAACTACAGATCCAAAACATCTATTCCATTTTTTCTTAAGACTTAAACTTGTTGGAGTTTGAACATGAGATGTGGTGTCGTGCCCTGTGTCTTAGTACGGTGTCTTCAAGAGTGCAGAGAGCAGGTTTCTTCTGCCCAGAGTCTTGAATGGAAAAATCTTGACATCCCAGCCCTGGACTTGAAGTCACAGCACACCACATCAAGGTGCAGTTGTTTGTTAAGAGATTTTTGCCAGCTTCCTGGTGACTGTGGGGCTTCTTCTAGGAAGAGGTTTGGTGATAGCTCTGGTTCTTGGCACTGAAAGCTGGCCCAGCATTGTGGACTGTAGAAGTGGTGTAGCAGTTTCTGAATCTACTGTTACTTGAATATTTTTAGATATTTTTGGACCTGCCCCTCTCTTCCCTTTCCAAACTGGTTAAGCCTTTCTGGTATGGTCTTTCTCAAAGAAGTCTACATCACATTTGAGAAAGTATTTGGGCTTCCCACACACGCGTTGTGTGGCTTGGTTTTCCCATTGACTGCCGCTTAGCCTTCTGCCAAGTGGCAGCCAAAACTCTGCATGGTCCCTTTTTTGTGCGTCTGTATAACTAGCTTCTGTTCTGATACGGGTGTGTTATGTAGAGACAAACTTTACCCAGTTTGATCAGATTTCTGAATCTGGTTTGTTTCCAAAGCTCAAAGTGAGGTTAATCGGAAATAGTTTGTTATCCTGATTTGGAACAGATTGACAAAGTTCCCATCTGTATGCCCCCAAAATCATAAACTGGCTGTATTTCACTGAAAGGTGTTTGAACTGCAGGAAGCCTGACAAACTAATAATTCATTTTAACTAATTGCAGCAGGACTTTCTTGCTTTTAGACTTCCTCTGAAGTAACTTTGCATAGATGTATTTCTGCAGCAGAGGTGCAGAGCAGATCTGTGTGACTGACTGGTGCTTGCGCAGCGCTTGGTTAGGGAAGTGGTGAGGTGTCTTCTGGGCTAATGAAACCCCATAATGTGCCCATTGTGCTGGAGTTGGAGTGCTTTTGCTGAGAAAGTTTCGTTGCAGGTTGTGACTTGAAATAAGCAGTTTCCATAACGTGATGGCTTTGCTGACCAAAGCTTCGTTCATGCTTTAACACTTCACCAAGTGCTCTGGCACTGTAGTATAAAACTCTTAACTGCACAGTAAAATCATCCACGTGCAGAGCTGATCCTCTCAATTTCTGCCTGCCGAAGAGGGAAACGATGTCACTAATTCTTCACTGATTCCCCACAGAAAAGCAAAGAAAGTTGCTTTTTGTGAGAACGCTATCAGCTTTTGCCCTGGAAAAGCTGTTGAGGATGTGTGGAGGGTGATAGCAGCTTTGGCACTGCAGTCTTCTGCAGTGTGATCCTCCATGCACCAGTGCTCAGGAGAGCCAAAGTCACGGGGGGGAGTCGGACACAGGTGCAAAAAGAGGCAGGTGAGCAAAACAAAGGCCTCCATAATCCTGAGGGTGCATGCTATTTACTTATTTTCCCAGTGGACTGCTGAGTGGGATCGCTAATGAATGATGCAGGCTGTTTTCTGAGTTACTGTAGTGTGACGCTCCTCCCATGCCAGCAAAGGGGGATGCTTGGTGATCGTAGCATACGGCTATACCTTGTAACCCTGACCCAAGGACCGAATTAAAACCTGTGCCACGAAAGTGTTGATGCTTCTTTCCACCCCCGCCGCAGTCACCTTGTGTGATTTAGGATGAAGTCAGCCACAACGCATTGCTGTGGTATGATAGCCTTTAAATGCAGACTTGAAGAGCTTGTTTTTTTAACTGCTAACTCATGCTAACTTTTTATTCCACATCCCATAATTGTGTTGTCACGCTCTTGCTACTACATTAACAATGAAAAAAAAGGTGAAACGGGCAACTTGGTAGAATAAAAGTAGTTAGAATGGGGGAAGAACTGTAGCTAGTGGTTCTAACAGATGTTAAAATTTCTGGCTTTTGGCTCCAGAGAGCGTGTGTGTACAGGTCAGCCAATGTGGAAACTACTTCAAATAACCTGAAAAAGTTTGGCTTTTGCTGGGTAGGGCTGAATTCCATCAGATTCAGCTTCTTTTGAACTTGAAATAAGTGTTTGCTTCCAGTATGTGCTGTAGTCAACTGGAAATTTAGATTTGGTGGATGGTAGATTTCTTCCAAAGAAATACAAATCTGTTTGAAAAGTAGTTAGTTTGTTGCATAAAGTTGCCATGACAATGGTTTTTAAAATGTGAAGTGTAAGATGTTGCCTCTCCTCTATTTAAGCAGGCTCCTGGGGGAATGAGGCTGCACAGCGCCCTGTGTCCCTCCTGTCTCTTCTTTCCTCCCCCAATGATTTATAAAAGGAATTATTTAGTTGCAAGGGGCCAAAAGAAATTAACATGGAAGTGCCAGATGTTGCATTTTCTTAAATTCTTGAAATTCATGGGATGCTATGGTCAAATAGAAAGAAATCCAAGCTAGTGGTTCCACTGCAGTAGAGGCAGGAACTCCTCTGTTCCCATACACATTTAAGCTGGCTGGTGGCTCTGCTTCCCACAGAGGGCGGCCCTTTCAGCAGGAATGTATGCTAAAAGAGCTGGGAGGCTGTCAGAGGGGCCAAAAGGGTTGTTGTCTGTGTGGAAGACGAGGTTTGGAAGTGGAGGATCTAAATCCAGAGTGAAGCAGGCTTTTTGGACTATCCATCTCAAAAGTAAATGCCTAAAAATGGATCAGCGGAGATATGTTTTTGCTCTGTGTGTGTGTATTATGGGTGAAAGTACCACAGTTTCTAGGGGTTTTGAAGCATTTTGGATGCTGTTCCCTGGGCTTTTAAAAGCTTTGATCTGAACTAGGCTTTATTTGTTGGTCAGATTTGCCCTAATCCACATTTGGGGAAAACTTAATTTCTGAGGAGATTGACATGTGTGATAAGGAGGTGTTTCATGGTTGTCTTTCTACATCCATTCCCTACTTTCTGCTGAAGAAAACACTGAACAAGCTAATGTTCCCACTTGTTTCCTAAGAAGTAGGTCTCATGTAAAAAGTAAGTATGCAGAAAGGCAGCTTTTGATCACCTGTCTGCTCCCTAGATGTACTAAGAGCTGTAAAAACAAGATGTTTTAGTGTTTCTGTTGGTATGGAAGAGCAGAGGAGCTTTGCCAGAGCTTTCTTGTTTGTTTTTTTCTAGATCAGATACAAACAGAGGTGTTGACTAGGTGCTGTGATTGTAGCTCTTGCTACACAAACCAGACATTCCTTTGTCTGTCATCTTCTCTTCAGAGCTTTGCAGTTATATAGCAGAGCTGGGAATTTAAGAGAAGTGAAGTTGAGCCAGCTCAACTGAACATGGGAAAACAAACATGGAAAAGAATGTGCTAGAGAATGAAAAAAGAGAATTACTTTTCTAGACCCAAATTATGCTTTGCTAGGTAGCAGCTGTCTGGCATTCACAGATTAAACAGCCGCTTAGCTAACATGCATTGACAATGATAGCATGTCCTCAGTTTTGCTTTGAGTGCATGAAATGAGGAATTAACTCTCCCATGCTGAAAGCCATAAAAGTATCCGGAAGTGTGTGTTTACTCCTAACAAACATTTGAACTTGTCTGTTGTATTCAGTACCTGATCTATGCTTTATATGACAATGCAGTTTTAATGGTATTAATGCTACTTTGTAAGTCAAAAAAGAAGTAGTTTTATAAAATGACTCTTTGAACAAATGGATTTTGACTATGAAGTGTTTTATTAAATGCATAGTTGCTTCTGAGTGATTTGGTGCGTTTTATGGTTTTCATAGCCCCTTCTAAATGTAAAGATTTGTGTGGTCTTTTGTCTTACAGCATTCCATGTGGAACCCAGGGAGCCTGAAGGAGGCTGTGAAGTTAGTGGAATGATTCCCTGTGTAGCTGAAACTATGTAAGTATTAGATGTTTGCTCACAAGATCACTTGCCCAGCATCAACTGTTAGAGCAGAATTGCTTCTGGTTCAGCAGTTGCAATGATCCTCTCATCCCTCCCCAATGGAAAGTTGTGTATATCCGTTCAGAACTGGAAAAAGATGGGGCACCTACGGTAGTGTTCCCTACTCTGAGCTATTTTAGAAGTCATGTATTGCTGTCCACTAAAAGGTAGATAATGCATAGTGAAATTCTGTAAAATTGTTACAGACTGTGCTCAAGTGTTTGTGAAAAGTTGAGGCTGGGTTGAGGTTTAGCAATGTTGTCTTTGCCGTAGCTAGTGAACTGCTACTTGGGAAGGGATTTAATGGTTGGCTGAGCTGTGTCTCCTTTTGTTATGAGATTCCCTAAATTTGTATTTGAGGTGTTCTTGAATGTATGGAGATGTTTTTCCTCTTCTCTCTTGATACTTTCTGTGCTTTGAAACTCATTGTAAATACCTTCTGATGCAACACTTTATTAAACGGCATAATGCTTGGCTGTGTGTTGTTATTCTCTGGATGTATCTAATAATTTCTATTACTACAATAATGTTGGTCATTAAAGAAAAATACAGGGTTACTTAAATATCTCCTTTGCACCTTCTTTCCTCCTGTCAGCTCTCACCCACTTCAGTGCCGCTGTTTTCAACTGTGCCATGGTGTGCTTGTATGACAGAGAATTATTACTGAGTCACTTTGTTGTTTTGCTCCCTTCAAATCTTGGCTTGCGTGTGATCAGGTCACTTGAAAATGGAGAAAAAATAATTTCCTTACAGCACTTAAAAAAAAAAACAACCACAAAACAAAATAAAAAGCCCCACCAAGCATTAGCAAGGCCTTTCTAATCTTCTCTAGGTTTTCCGTTTAATGTATTGGGCAATACAGTTCTACACATCCTTTGTTCTTAGAGGGTGGCTTTCCTTTAAATGGCTGTATTCACCAGCACTAGTCTTCCTGCGTTTCCAGTTCCTTACTCCCTTCTAGAAAGGAGCAGAGAACATCATTGTTGATCTCTGCTTTGCAGTTCCTGTTATGTGGAAGATGGCCTCATGGGCATCTTGGTGATTCATATTTACTGTAGGTTATTGCTCAATACTTGTCTGAGTAATCAAACTTCTTGGGGAGTACTGCATCCTGTAGTGCTGAGTACGTTCCAACCTTAGCCCTGAATTTTAATTTTTATTATTTTTTTAGTAGAATGGTAAAACTAGTGGTCAGCACTGCCTTTTGTGTCTCCCTGTTATGTTGTACAAGCCTGTTACAGTAATTTTGCTCTTAGGATCTGATCTTTTTGGCAATTGGTGCTTTGCTACCAATCCAGTATAACCTTTGGGTATGCAAGAGCTTTATACTTGTAGTTCCCGATCCAGCTGGGATCCTCTGCATGTCCTTGTGCTCACTTAACTGTAATCGGCATGACCTACCTAGACCTGACGTTTGCTTTGCTCTGTAGTTAAATGAGTAGTTCTGTTTGCTTTCCTGAGAGTGCGTTTTCATATTCCTTGAACACAGAGTTCAGTGCAGCTCCTGATGCTGCAATTGGATCCTCTCTCCAGCCTTCCTTAACAAAAGGGCCAAGTTCTCCCACTTGTTTCTATCTCCTTCCGAGGCTCTTGTTCCTTTCATGCCTTGAAACCTGAGTCATGTAGGAAGCGGAGGTGACTAGTCAGTGAAGTGGATCCAGCTCAATGAAGGCATTTTATAAAAGGGTAACTGATGGAGCACCAAAAGACTTTTCTCTTACAAAACCAGATACATGTGCAAACTGCCAGCAGATGCAGTCTGGTTTTTTATTTTCCAAGCTGGTTTTGCTATTTTTGGGGTATAATGCTTCAAAGTATCTGGCACGTGGCAACAAGTTTTCTGTAGTAGAAAAGCGAGGAATTGCAGCAACTGCACTTCAGTATCGTCTAGCGTTTGTTCGTAACAAGTAGGATTGTGCTCTGAAAACCTCCTCGGCAGGGAGGAGGAAGGAAGAACTCCATTACTGCAGGGAAGAGCAGTGCTAGCAAAGCCCAGGCAGTGACTGTTCAGGAGCAGCAGTCAGCTCCTTGTAAGGCAAGTAGGTTGGAGTACAGAAAACGTGTTTGTTAGAGGGGTACGCTGCAGGGGATGTGGTTAACTTGCACTCTATGGGTTAATGTTAGTGTGTTTTCCAATGTTTTTTGGAAACAGCTGTTGGGACACTTCCTTGCATACAGGTGTTTAATAATGCTGGCTGACCTTCCCTCTATTATTGTAATGCCATCTTTTCATGAGAGCAAATGACAATAAACCCTGTCTGTTTCATCACGTTGGTGATGTCACTTTGTAGACTTGAATATTAGATTATCATCATTAATACAAGCCGTTGCTTAGGAAGCATGACAGCATGAATCACTTCCGTTAGGAAAATATATGGACAGAATATGTAAGTCAGTCTTGCAAACTGACTGTCTTTGGTTTTTTTTAAACTTTAAATTGGGATTCCTAAAGTGAATTGGATTAATCTCTGTCCATTATGCTGTGTGATTCAACTACTACCAGCTACTTTAGAGGAAAGTACCATTCACTAATAGGCAGCTGTTCTTTATCCTGCCCATAGGGAAAAGCTGTTCCAAATCCCCAGCAGCTAATAATTGCTGTTATGTGTTTGAGCAGAAAGTTTCATAAACTAGCTAAACTCTACTTTAAACTCTAATACTAGTTTTTTTACTCAGGATTTTTTTTATTCTGTTCCTTTACTCGCATGCATCTCTCGAAAGAAAAACTTAACCAAAGTAGTGTTAGCTGCCTTTGAGAAACTGATGAAAGAACAAGAATTAGTGTAGATCGAGCATTTGAATTCTGATTAATTTAAAGGGGGAGGGGGGGAGGAAGACTGGTATCTGGGAATTAATCACTAAGCAGTAATTTACACTGCCTAATAATATCCTGTTTGTTTTGGTGTAATGAAAAAATGACTGGTGTAGACTAGAGAAGATGATGTTGCTCAGATGCACGGCAGCACAGGAACCAGTGCCAGGCTGTACTCTGCAATTCACAAAGAGCTGTGAAGTACTAAGGACCAGTGAAATTGTCTTTTGGGTTGTTTATGTGGAAATGCACATTTTAATGAAACCTTTAAAATACAACTGAATAAGAAATTATTCTTGAATACTTTAAATTGAACTTTACTTACCTATAAAAATGATGCTAGAAAGTTCATCTTTAAAGCAGTTTGATGAAAGGAGGTACCAGATGTTTGTTCCTTCTGCTGCTTAAAAGTAGATTTTTTGTTAGTTTTGTTTGTAGGTTATAGGCTTGAAAAAAGGGATTGGGTAGGGGAAGGGAGGCCAGGTAGTTGAAACCAGCATTTTGGCTGTTGTACTAGCAAAAATATTTTTTTTTCTCATGAAACTGCATATGTGCTGTTTTGCCAAAACAGGTATAAGGCCTGAGAGGTTTATGTTTGTAATCCTAATATCTGGAGAATTCATCTGCACTTGGTGCTGCTGCTCCAAGTTGGTTAAGAGCTTAAAACAGGTCTCAGAAGAGCTTTCCCCAAGAAAGAATACAGAAAAACTGACATAACATCTATTTTATTTCTTCATTTTAAATTTTTATCTCTTTCTTTTCTTGTTCTAATTTGGTAACTGGAAGCAGTAAACAAGGACAAAGCAAACCCAATTTTTATGTTTGAGGCTTTTGCCTAACTGACAGTGGAGGTGAAATGCAAATAAGTGGGTAAAGGAGAAATATGATAAGCAATTGCTTTCTTGGAGTTGATGTTTCTGAGAAATGGACTGGCCACTGCGTGGCTGCATGCTGATAGGATAGTGTCAGAGTCTTAGTTTGGTTTTAATAGGGAAAGCTTAAGAAGCCTTTTCTGTGGGTAAAATGTCTTTTCCAAATATGCAAGGCTTTAACATTGTGATTTATAAAAACAGAGTATGATGAAATAATTTTGGCATTTTAATTTTGATTAAAAAAAAAGCCTGAACTGGAATTACTACTTCTTATCTGCATGTGTGTCTGTCTGAGAAAGTTTCATTAAAAAGGCCCCCCTCCTCCTGTCTGTCTCGTTACCTGAAGGGAGGAGCCCACTTGAAACAATGAATAATTCCTAAACAACATCTTGCATGAAAAGTGAGTGTCGCCTCCTTTCCGCAAACACGCTTTGTGTGTATGTTTTAAGAACAAAAATCTAGATTCCAAACTCTGTTTAAAAAAAACAAGCCCACAACTCCCTCTCCACCAAAAAAAAATCCCAGCCCCCCCCCCCCCACCCCCTTTTCCCCATTTCCC